TCTATACTGTCAAAAATAATTTTATAAGCAAATGGTTGGAATTCTCCATTTCATTGCTGAGATTCTGCAGCTCAAATATTGGTAAGATGTGCCTAGCAGAGGAAGTGGTAGGGAAACTCTCGAAGAGCTACAGAACAAACATTACTGCCTTTGCACCTGAATCCCTAAAATTAGCTGAATTGGCAGAAGAGACTCATCTGTCTATACTGTCAGCAACCATGTGCCTCAGATTTTCTAGAGAAACCAGATTTGAAGTGTTCTGACATTCTTTGCAGACCATCATTGTATCCTAGAGGTTCTTGGCCTTTGCTCTGATTGAGTGAATTTTTATAAACCCATGGATGCTTTCATTTGTTTATTTTTGAGTAATGGTTGGTTGGTTGGTTGGTTGGTTGGTCCGGTGGTTCATTGGTCCATTGGTCTGTTGCTTGGTTGGACAGATGGATGGACAGGGTCTCATTAGCCCAGGTTAGTGTCTAACTTGCTGCCATGTACCAAGGATGACCTTGAATTCCTGATTCTTCTGGTTCTACCTCCCAAGTGCTGGATTACAGGTGTTCCCCACCATGTCTAGCTTTGTCATTATTTAATATTTAAATAAGAATTAAATGTAGTAATCTTGCAATATTAACTGTTAATTTTCTCTCTTTAGTTGGAAATAAAGTATCATTCTTTCAACCAGATGATGAAGTAGTTGGTAAGTTGTGATCTACAAGTCCTATTTCAAATCATGTATTTTATTGTTATCTTTTGCTGCATAATAATGTTCATTATGACTTTGCTTCATATAAAAATACTTCCCTTGGCTGGAGTTATACCTCTGTGGTAGAGTACTTGTCTAGCATGAGCAAGGCCATAGGTTCAATCTCGTAATACAAAAAATAAAAAATTTTTCCTGCCTTTTAGAATTTGCTCTCAAATGCCCATTGCTTAAGAAATTTTGGAGTTTGACTTGAATTAACAAACCATTTAAATATTGCTAATATTTGGCTATAGAACAGTTACATCAATAGGAAATGGCCATAGTCGACACTCTTCCCTGTGCAGCACTTTCCTTCTTGGTCACTACTCCTTGGCCAGACTGAAGTTTTTAGAGAGAAGGAAAGTCGTAAGTCCTGTGCTTGAAGACTACTGACTGACTGGGCAGCACTCAGCATAGAGATCTCTCTTCGCCACTCCAGCCTGAATCTGACAGAACTTTCCTGCTACTATTAGAAAACTAAAAATTGACTTGAAGCAATTTGTTGTCATTTTCCAATTCACAGAAATCCACCTACCTCTGTCTCCTGAGTGCTGGATTATGCACCATCAGCACCTAGTCCTGTAATTTTTTTTAATTTTCAAAAAAATATTTATTATTTTTATTTTATGTGTATGAGTGTATTGCCTGCATGTATGTGAGTGCACCCATGTCGTGCAATGCCGCAGAGGTCAGAAGAGGCTTCAGATTCCCCTGGAACTGGAGTTAAGGATGGTTCATAGCCGCCATGTGGGTGCTAGGAATCGAACCTGGGTCCTCTGCAAGAGCAGTCAGTGCTCTTAACCACTGAGCCATCTCTCCAGCCCCCCTTTTTTTTTTAATTTTTATTTCTATTTTATGTGTATGAGTGTGTTGCTTGCATGTATGTATGTACCAGTGTCATGCAGTGCCCTTGGAGGACAGAAGAGGGCATCGGATCCCCTGGAACTGGAGTTACTGATGGTTGTTAGCTGCCATGTGGGTGCTGGGATTTGAACCTGGGTCTTCTACAAGAACAGCCAGTGCCCTTAACCACTGAGCCATCTCTCTGGCCCCTGTAATATTTCTTAAACATATATTTATACTTGTATCCCAGACAGTCAGGACACAGTAGAATATCACTTCTGTATATCATAATTATCATGGAAACTTCCCTTATCTTTTTCTGGAACTCATTATGTAGACCAAATTCACAGAGATTCGCCTGCTTTTTTCTCCTAAGTGCTGTATTTAAAGGCCTGCACCACATGCCCTGCCCAAATGTCTTCTGATAAACTTAGAAAATGTTTAATCTTATGAAATGCTTGAAGTTGTTATAGGTAATGTAGAGAGGTTTTCTTCAGCGTTTTACAGGGTTGCCTCTGACTCAAGTATTTTCCTGAAGAACTGATTTTATTCTTTGATTGTTCTATCCATGAAATCAATGACACTGTATTACTCAAATTTTTTTTTGTAAGAGATCGAAATTAAAACCTGACTAACTTACAGGAAAATGGAATTTAATTAGAAGCATACCAAAGTATCTTATTTAAACAACCTGTGGAAAGTTAGAGCATCTGGTGTGATTTTAACCAGGAGACCAGGTGTCCCCAACACTCCAGTTTGTCTCTATAACAGTGACCGTCATCTTTGCTGTAACTCAGGAGTAAAGGAGAGAAATAAGGAAAGAGCTGGCATGGGTGTCGTGGTGCCCATGCCAGAGGATACACACACTTCCCTTCCATAATGAGTTTGTCCCTTCCTCACACTGGTAGTCACTGGAACCTTCCCTGTGATTCCCCTGGACAGAATTTGTATAACTGTATCTCGTTAAAAATTAGTTCATTTGGGGACTTCCCCCCCCCTTAAACTTGTTGTTTTAATTTTTAGGGATTTTGCCCTTGGATTCCGAAGACCCTGGACTTTGTGAAGTTATCAAAGTACATGAGCATTACCTGGGTATGCAGAAATTCAGGCTTCTGGAACTTATATAAATGTTTATGTGGAAATTCAGGCTTCTAGAACTAATATAAATGTTTTTTAAAGCCTCCATGGCAAGGTTGAGGATAAGTATGTAGGGTGTGTGTGTGTGTGTGTGTGTCTGTGTGTCTGTGTGTCTGTGTGTGCGTGCCCCACAAAGACCAGAATGGGGCATCAGATCTCCTGAAACTGGAGTTATAGGTAGTTGTGGGATGCCATGTAGGTGCTGGGAACTGAACCAGGGTTCTCTGGAAGAGCAAGAAGTGCTCCATTCAGTCATCTCTCTCTCCAGCCCCTGGAGCTTATATAAGTCTTATTTTACTGAATTATACCTTTGGCTGGTCGTATGAATACTTCTAGCTTATAATTATTTATATAATTAATATCCGGACAAAACATTGTGTAGACCCACAAGTTTTACTAACATTGCTCATGGTTAGAACTTTGAAAAGTATTTTATTTCGTGATTCTGAAATGATAGTCATAATCAGAATTTTAAGACTCCTTGCTTTTGGCCATTTTAATCTACGTGTGTATATATGTGTATATCTGTGCATGTGTGCATGTGTATGGTGCTAGAGATGAAACTGAGGGTCTCTAGCATACTGAGCAAGTGCTCTACTACTGAACTCTTCGTTATTGACTGAAATAAAAAATGTACAAAATCTAGGCAGCACTGGTCAAGTCTGAGGCAGGAAAGAATGAAGAAAGCTTTTTATGGTTTCTATTGCTAATGTGCTTTGACCAGGACTGCTTTTTTATTTTTTCATTGTAAATTACATTTTGAATATTTACATTAAAATACATACTTCAGGAAAGCGATGAAAAGATATTTCATCACCTAAGTAATCAGAGAAAGTCAAGAACTGGGGGAGGGAGAATGGACAATAGCTGAACTGCTATAGAAGATGCACTAGTAAGAAAGGACCATGAGTCAGTACAGTGCTTGTCCAACAAGCATGAGGACTGAGTGAGTGTGGACCCCATTGCTAGGAGTGCAAGCAGGTACTCTCACACCTGGATTAAAAGACTTCTTTTAAAGAACCACCTAATTTATTCTACCCCATGTAAACATGTAAACATCCAGGCAGTGGTGCAGCTCTGTAAGCCCAGCACTGAAGAGAGTAGAGACAAGAAAGAGGATCCCTGGGGCTTGCTGGCCAGCTAGCCTAGCCAGTCAGTGGATGCCAGGTTCAGTGAGAGGCCCTGTCTCAGAAACTAAGGTGGAGCCAGATCAAGGAAACTACCATGCACTCAACCTCTGGCCTCTACACATGCCCACACACATGCATGCACGCATACATATGAACACATGAACATACACAAAAATGATTTTTTAAAAAAATCAATGAAACAAAGCCCAGTTGTTCCAGTAGTGATGGATATTCGAGTTCTCATTTGTTTTTAAGGTGCTGGAGGTGGCACTCAGAGCCTCCAGGTACCCTAGGCAAGTGCTCTCCCATTGAGCCATTTCAACAATGGAAAATTATAACAGACCAGAAGGGAAAGAGCAAAAGCAATTGCAGACATTGTTTGACAGTGAAAACACAATCAGGTGTTTCCTTAAAAGACATCTTTTAATTAGCTGTGATAGCACATGTTGTAATCTTAGCTCTTGGGCATCAGAGGCATAAAAGTCTAGAGGTCAAGGTACAAGCTGCAAACTGAGATACTATCTCAAAACAAATCCTTTAAGCCAGCAGGGCTGGAGAGATGGCCCAGTGGTTAAAGATCACTTGCTGTTCTTCCAGAGGACCCGAGTGCAGCCGCTCCCTGTTTGCCCTGGGCGCCACCTACGGCCGCTCTTCTGCTCGCTCCATACTGTCTCTGGGCAGCACTCCTCCACTTGTACAGGCGCCACCTGTGGCCACTCTCCATTCACATGGTGCCGATCACACAGGCGCTGCCTCCGATCTCACGGGCGCTGCCTGCGATGGCACGGGTGCCACCCTTCACTCCTTGCTGCGGCCGTAATCTGTGGCCACTCTTCCGCTCGCTCGCCACTGAGGCAGCTCTTCTCCTTGCTCCGCACTGCCTCCGATCATCGCTACCTCTGCCCAGTCCCAGACCCCAGGGCGGGTGAGGAGACTGTGTCAGCAGAGCTGCATTCAGACACAGGAGACCAGGTTTGGTGATGCAGATCTAGTTTATTGTAGAAGGGCACAAGCTTATATAGGGGTAGGGGGTCCAATCAAGAACTTAAAACTCAGATTTTTGGCAGGGCTGTGTCCTGTCATGACATCGAGAGCCAGACACCTCATTAGCATGATAGGTTTCAGGTTACTTAGGTTCTGGTTTCCTGTATGGGGCCTGGAGTCCTGGGAACCACGTGACCCAGGCAGTTGCAATATCGAAGTGTTGCAATTTAGAATCTCAAGGGTGGTGATGAGGGAGTGGCAAACTCTAGGCATCAGTCTCATGATCTTCCATTGAGAGCAAATGTCGCAAGGTGTTCCTGTGGCCATTGCCTCAGGCCTGCTGTATGGCTGTCATTAAGACTTTCACTCTAGGCTCAAGCCTGTCTCTCACATCTCCCCCTTTTTCTTTTAAAAAGCCAATTATAGGTTAGTAAGGGCAAGGAACAGTGGGTCATTATTTGTCTTTTGGATCATTTAAATTTGAGGGGATTGGATGTCGAGATGGGACAACAGCCAACTGAACTAGAGAAAGGCCTTTACAAAACAAATGAGACCTTTAACAATGCAGGGTCCAAAAATCAGGAGTTAGCAATAATGATGGCACACATAATAAGGAACATAGACAAGGGGTTCCGTCTGGTTTGAGGATTTTGATTGGGTATAGTCTCTGCTTGCGAAGTGAGATACTTAAGGTTGCCTCAGGTTATTGGGTGTGCCGTTGGAGCCGTCTATGACACCGGGTCAGTCTCTCGGTGGTTGAGAGATGTGTCGCTTCCTCCAGGGTCAGGGCCACCATCTCAGGGGTCAGTGGTTGTGGAGGGAGGTTTTCCGACACAGGCAAATCTAATGCTTCGAGCTGGGGCTGGATCATTATCTGGAAAGACACAAGCATAGCCTCACCCTTATGTTAACAACAGGTGTGAATAATATGATGGATATCTCTGAGCTTGCCAAAGGAAGGCGAGTGAGTAATGTCCATCTGCCAGATCTTGTTAGGGCCAAGAAACCCTAGTTCCCATTTTTTTGCATCTTTAGCAACAGCCATCGCTCCCATTTTAGAGCAAGGATCTGTTAGTTTTACTTTGGCCGGGAAAGCCTGGGACAAGCCACTCCCACCATTCTATTACTTTATTTGTTTATCTTTTTTTTTTTTTTTTAGTATGAGATTATTCTGCTCAGGGGTGTTGGGGGAACTCCCTGAAACAAGGCCAGAATGGCAGTCACAATGGGGTAGAACAGCCCAGATTGTGGGTGCCCCTCCCTGACTTCTCTCCTTCTGGCCAGGAATAGCACATGAGTCCATTGCTCCAGATCCCAACAGCAGGAATCCATAAACCAAGGGGCAAGAGCTAGCACTTTATCTAATACCTTAGTTACATCCTTTTTTGTTACCCTAATTTGCCAACTCCTGAGGAGAGAAACCAGCGCAGCGGCATGGAGTTTGGCGGCAGCTGGATGACTGTTCCGCATTCCGGTGTTCACTCACCCTGCGAGACATACCCAGAAGGACTCAAGAGCCATTCAGGAAGACGATCGGTGGAGACAGGAGCGACACACCAAACCAAAGACTGTGAACCAAAAGAGGAAGCACAGGAGGATGAAAGCGGCAAGCACCCACGGAAGAGTCACTGGCAAGTGGGGCTTCGGATGCCGAAAGTGTTACAGCCCCACGTTGGGCACCAGCTGTGGCCGCTCCTCGGTTCGGGTGAGCGCTGCCTTTCACTCCTCACTGCAGTCACAATCTGTGGCCACTCTTCCGCTTGCTCGGCACTGAGGCAGCTCTTCTGCTCACCCGGTGCTAAGGCCACTCTTCTGCTCACTCAGCGCTGAGGCCACTCTTCTGCTCGCCCAGCGCTGCCTCTGATCATAGCTACTTCTGCCCAGTCCTAGACCCCAGGGCTGGTGAGGAGACTGTGTGAGTAGAGCCGCATTTAGACACAGGAGACCAGGTTTGGTGACGCAGATCTAGTTTATTGCAGAAGGGCACAAGTTTATATGGGGTAGGGGTCCAATCAAGAAGTTACAACTCAGATCTTTGGCAGGGCTGTGTCCTGTCATGACATCAGGAGCCAGACACCTCTTAGCATGATAGGTTTCCTGTAAGGGGCCTGGATTCCTGGGAACCATGTGACCCAGGCTGTTGCAATATCTAAGTGTTGCAATTTAGAATCTCAAGGGTGGTGATTAGGGAGTGGTGATCTCTAGGCATCAGTCTCATGGTCTGCCAATGGGAGCAACCGTTGCCTCAGGCCTGCTGTATGGCTGTCATTAAAACTTTCACTCTAGGCTCAAGCCTGTCTCCCACACCGAGTTCAGCTCCCAGCACCCATGTTGGGCAGCTCACAGCCACCTGTAACTTCACCTCCAGGGGATCTGATACCCTCTTCTGGCCTCTGCAGGCATGCACACACATGGTGCATTCACACAGATAAAGACATAAAGAAAAATTTAGAAAAAAAAAATGACCACCAAGCAGATGAGCTGTAGGTGAGATCCTGGGCACAGAAACTGTCCATAACTGAAGACGCTCAACTGGATGACCTCTGTTCTGTTTGCAGCTCCAGCATTTTATGAACTGAGGACTGATTTCAGTACGTTCCATGAAACTGTGCATTGGGAAATTTTCAGTTTATCACAACCCTGAGTTTCTATTCATTCTTAGCCTGGTGATTATTTAATGAGAACTCAGCACTCAGTCACTTTCAGTCCAAGTAACTTTTGTTCTTTCACCAAACCAAAGAATGAGGTTTCAAATGATCACCTAAATGTTAATCCCATTTCACAGTATTCGTGATGAAGTTCAAAAATTTAGTGATTCTTCCAGCTCTTTTCAGCTTTCAATTCTTTTTCTAAACATTATTGGCTGGGGCAGGGGGAACAGGGGGCAAGCATGCCTTGAAGATATGTGGCAGTGAGATAACAACCTCCATGATTCAGTTCTCCCATGTAGGTTCCAGGGATCAAACTCAGGTCATTGGGTTCGGCAGCAAGTGACTTTACCCACTGAGCCATCTCCTCAGCCCTGACTGCTTTCCAGTTCTTAAACCATTCTGTCAAATATAAAATAGTTTTTTTTAATATTTTTTATTTTTATTTTATGTGTATGTGTGTATTTCCTGCATGTAGGTAAGTGCACCTGTGTCGTGCAGTGCCCACGGAAGACAGAAGAGGCTGTGGGATCCCCTGGAACTGTAGTTACAGACAGTTGTTAGCTGCCATGTGGGTGCTGGGATTCGAACCCAGGTCTTCTGCAAGAACAGTCAGTGTTCTTAACTGCTGAGCCACCTCTCCAGCCCCCAGTAGTTTTATTTTTCCATTCAAAATTGGGCATACATTTTCAGCACTGTTCTTTTATTCTGTAGAACCTAAACTAAAAAGAAATGATTTTCATTCTTAGTCCTCATGTATTTTGTTATTGATCTACGTGTGTCTCCATTTGTTTAGTTTCTATAAATAATAAATACCTGATGGCCATCTAATATAAAAGCAAAGATCCTGGACCATGCAGATCAAGCTTAGAACCTTTGGAATCTTGGACTAGAGAAATGGCACAGCAGTTAGAATCTTGGGCTGCAGAGATAGCACAGCAGTTAAAAGCACTTGCTCCACTAGTGAGTACTGGAATTCCAGTCCCAGCAGCCATGTTTGGCAGCTCATGAATGCCCATAATTCCAGCTCCCAGGCATCTCATGCCCTCTTCTGGCCTCCACTGTCACACACACACATGCATCAGTCAGAGGTACTCACATAAATAATAAAAACCTTCTTAAAAAACAGAACCTTTGAAACTTTTTTTTTTTTTGAAACATACTACGTAGATCAGGATAGACTTGATCTCACAGAGATCCACTTGCCTCTGCCTCCTGAGTGTTAGGATTAAAGGCATGCACCACCATCCCGGGCTGAAATCTTAAATGTAGTTTCATTGCCTTTAATTTTTTTTTAATCGTGTCTGTGTGTTTGTGTATGTTCACATTAACATTGGAGCTTTTGGAGGCCAGAGATAATCAGATTCCCTAGAGCTGGAACTACAGGTGGTTGTTAGCTGCCTGATGTGGGGGCTGGGAATCAAACTCAGGGCCTCTGGAAGAACAGTACATCCTCTTAACCACTGAGCCGTCTCTCTAGTCCCTTTAATGTTTTTTGATGGACTGCATAAATGATACATGTATATATAATTATAATTTTACATGTACACTTTTTTTCTGTTTTTAAAAATTGAGACAGGGTCTTTCTGTGTAACCCAAGCTGGCCTCACACTTATAATCCTCAGTTTCCCAAGTTTTGGAATTATGGCATGTGATTAAATTTTGATAAATACAGCAGACTGAACTCTTACAGTGGGAGACAGTCCCTCCAGAAAAGGCCATACAAGTAAACTATATGTAGATGAACATGAACTATTAGAATAGATACACGTTGAATCACATAATCACTGCTGTGCTACTTATGTGGCCTTAGACAAATTAATTATTACTCCACACCCCATTTCATAATCAGCAAAATTGAAAGAAAACCACTAGGAAGAAAAATACAAAATCTGTTTCATCTACCAAATACTCATCACACATCACTCCTATGGTGACTCAGATGTATGGAGATTTCTCCCTCCAGCAAGCAATCAATCAGCTCTACCAAATCACAGCTAGACATCCTCTAATCCTATTTAGTTCTCTTTAATTCTGATGCTGTCTACTTGGAGATAGCATAGATGCCAGAAATTGAGGGCTCAGTCCCACAGTTTGCCTTCATTTCAGACACTAGTCACACTAGTGGGCCTTCAGGACCTCTGATCAACCCAGGAGTTGGGATTCCAACTTTAGGCTTCATTAATTTGTCAGAATGGCTAACAGAACTCAGGATAACACATTTACTGGTTTACTATATAGACTTCCATGTCACCTGGCCAGGCGTGGTGGCTCACGCCTTTAATCCCAGCACCCGGGAGGCAGAGGCAGGCAGATCTCTGTGAGTTCAAGGCCAGCCTGGTCTACATAGTGAGTTCCAAGACAGCTGGGGCTACAGGGAGACCCTGCCTCAAAAAGACGAAAAAAAAAAAATTCCAAAAGCTACAAATAAGCAGCCAAGTAAAGGTATACACAGGACGAAGTCTGGAAGGGTCCTGAGCATAGGACTTTCTGTCCTGAGTTGGGTTATCTCCTGAAAATTCAGTGATTCCTTGCTCACTCTCCTTCAAGTCTTGACATTCTCACCTGTCTAGAATCGCTCTCTTATCCCGTGACCTTTTAAATTTTTATTTTCTTATAGAGTTCTTGTTTGTTCTTTTGAGACAAGGTCTATGTAGTCCAGACAGGTCTCCAACTCACTGTAGTTAAACCGCCCTTAAACTCCTGACCACACTCCTGCCTCAGCCTCGCATGTACTGCATTCCTGTTTGTGCCACCATAACCCTCTACCTTTTGGTTTGGGGGACTTCATTGTATAGGAGTGATTGAAGTATGAACAACTGTGATTGGATCTATGGGGCATTCCCTAATCCTAATAGACTGAGTGGAAAAGGCCTCACTGTGCAGAAGTTTCTTTGGCCCTCTGTGCTTCATTTCTTCCTCTTGGATATACGGCAGGACTCCTTCTAAAATGGTCTTCATATCTGCTGTTGGACAGTGTGGTTCAGAGAATGACTTTATAGCCCGATCACCTCTACGACCAAAAAACAATCAGAGTGGTTTTCATTTCTCTTGACTTACCTGGGGAAGAATAAATTGTAGTTTCTATGTTCTGCCTTAGGGACAAAAGGGAGCAGTTGAAAGGGGGCAAAAGTAGGTCAGAGAGACTGCTTACTGAAGCTGCTTCTGAGGCTGAAATGCCTCAGCATTATAAAAGACTGCCTTTTACTTTCTTTCAGTGATAACCAAGGACAGTCCAAATAATTTAATAAAAGATAAGCTTATTCTAAAAATTATGAAAATAACCAGAGCAATGGGAATTATGGCCCAAAACCAAAGATAAAAATCAAAATTTGCTTTTCCTAATATCATGACTAGCATAAAGAATTTCGTAGAGAAATATGGTCTATGTGCTGTCACGTGGCACTCAGTATAAAATCTTACTGTTTTCATTCACCAAGAATGCATGACTGCTCTGCTTCCCCACTAGGTGGCAGTAGTCTGTTGCTCTTGCACTGCTGGCTGCTCTGTGGCCAGTCCATCCAAACCTACTGCCATTAGTTGGAAACGCATGAAAGAGCTGGTGAAGACTATGAAACGTTGATTTGAGATAACAGAAAGAGTTGCTTATAGGTATAAAAACATCACAATTTACTTGAACAAAAAAAAAACATTAAGAAACAGTTTGATGGGCAGATCATGTAGAACTTTTATTTTTTAAGTCTATCATCCTATTTTGAGCTTCTTTGTTTTTGAGACAGGGTCTTACTGTGTAGCCCTGGTTGACCTGAAACTCAATATGTAGACCAGGCTAGCCTTGAACTCATAGAGATCTGCCTTCCTCTGCCTCCCAAGTGCTGGGATTAATGGCATTAAAGGCATGCCCTACCATACCTGTATTTTAAGCTTTTTTTTTTTTTTTTTTTTTTTTTGAGCAGGATTTCCCTGTAGCCCCAGCTGTCCTGGAACTCACTATGTAGACCAGGCTTGTCTTGAACTCACAGAGATCCCGCCTGCCTCTGCCTCCCAGTGCTGGGACTAAAGGAGTGCACCATCACACCCGCCTTTTGTTGAGCCTTTTAAGCTACATTTTGTTTTTAAACTACAGTTTGCATTTTGTTCCGATTGCAGTAGAAAGGTATTGGTGCGTTTTTTTAAATAAATTATTGAGAATTTCATTCACGCATATAAGGTGTTTTGATCAAATCCATGCCCACTCCCTTCCCTCCAACTCCTCCCATATCTCCCCATCACTTTTTTCTGATAACTTTATGTACTCTTTCTTCTTTGATTTATTTTTTATGGGGCTTTTGGCTACTCTAACATTCCCCCCCTCTGAAGAGGTAACCCTGAAATCTTTTAAGAATTAGATAAAAGTTCCCAATATTTTCAACATTTTTGGCCTTTGGAACAGAGTATGTTGCTAACAATCCCAAAGACATTTTGACTTTTAGCCAAGAAACTGGCTGCTTTTCTTTGGGGTCTTTTTACCCTAACTGCCTAGCCAATTCCTGCCTCCTATTCTTATCACACCATCCTCTACAGAGGTTACCCAAATTGCCAATAGGGAATCAGGATGCAGACTGCTCTGACTTCTTCCATGCTGAACACGGATTGCAGGGTGAGGCAATTGGAGTGCCCCTTCAGTGGGTCTATCTTAAAAACTCCCAAATTGCATAACTCTTATCTATAGGGAGAAAGAAAGTCCTTGTCTGGTAAGGCATGTGAAGGAGAAGTAAAGGCAAGAGTAGTTAACATTACAAGTTCTAGACAGGAAACCAGAAAAAGCAGAGGCAGGCAGATCTCTGTGAGTTCAAGGCCAGCCTGGTCTACATAGTGAGTTCCAGGACAGCTGGCGCTACAGGGAGACCCTGTCTCAAAAAGACCAAAAAAATAAAAAAATAAAGGTGATTAAGCAGGGATGAGATGGCTCAGCAGTTAAAAGCACTGACTAGTCTTGCAGAGGACCCAGATTTGATTCCCAGTACTCACATGGTAGCTAAAAATTGTCTATATCACCAGTTCCAGGGAATTTGACGCCCTCTTCTGACCTCTGCAGACATTGTATGACATGGGTGCACTTATATACATGCAAGCAGTTCACTCATACACATAAAATTAATAAGTTTTTTTTTTTTAAAGAAAGATAAGGGGCTGGAGAGACGGCTCAGTGGTTAAGAGTACTGACTGCTCTTGCAGAGGACCCCAGTTTGATTCACAGCACCCACATGGCAGCTACTAACCGTCCTTAACTCCAGTTCCAGGGGAATCCGAAGCCCTCTTCTGACTCCGCCGCATTGCATGACACAGGTACACTCACATACATGCAGGCAATGCACTCATACACGTAAAATAAAAATAATTAAAAAAAATTTTTTTTAATTTCAAGAAAAAAAAAAGCAGCCAGGCCTGGTGACATGTACCTTAAATCCTAGCACTTAAGAGGCGAGGAAGGCAGATTTCTGTGACATTCAGGTCAGCCAGAGAAATAGCTTGGGATGTTGTCTTCTGACCTCCATGCATATGCTATGGCATGTACATGCAACATACACACACACACACACACATATCAAAAGTTTTTTTTGTTGTTTAAAAACAGTATGGGGGGCTAGAGAGATGGCTCAGCGGTTAAAAGCACTGACTGCTCTTGCAGAAAACCCAGGATTGAGTCCCAGCTCCCATATGGAGGCTAAGAACTATCTGTAACTCCAGTTCCAGGGAATCCAACACCCTCTTCTGACCTCCATGGGCATTGCATGACACAGATGCACCTACCTATATGCAGGCAATACACTCATTCACATAAGAATAAATAAATAAAATATTAAAAACATAATGTGGAATATAAAAAGCAAGATGGTAGCTAGGGATGGTGGCCTGTTTCTTTAGACCTGGCACCCTGGAGGCAGAGGCAGGCAGCTCTCTGATTACAACACCAGCCTGGTCTACACAGCAAGTTCCAGGCCAGCCAGGGGTACATAGTAAAAACTCGTCTCAAAAAAAAAAAAGAGAGAAGAAAAGAACAGAAAGGGAGGGAGGGCAGGGGAGAGGAAGAAAGGAGAGAGAGAGAGAGAGAGAGAGAGAGAGATATCATGGTTTCACTTAGATCAAATTCAAAATTAGACAAAACTGGTATTGCTGAGAATGAATACTTGAGTGCTAAATTATAAAGGTGAATAAGAAATTGAGTCATAATGGTGGATAGAGAGGAGACACGGGGAAGGATGTCTTCTCCACTAGCAAGGTAGTGACTTGCTTGTCTGTTTTATATTCATTCCTGTACTTGTGTTTATTTTTGTGTACTTTTGCTGAATGTATTTTATTTCACAACAGTCCTATCTTGAGATTACACATACATAAGAATAAAAACAGGGAAACTGTAATACAGATAATCAGTAAAGGTAGGGCTTGGATCTCATAGTCAATACTAATGGGACTTGCTAATGAATTGTTTCCTCCTGTTCTTTGTGCCAGTTCATAAACCAGCAAAGGTTCCATGGACAGAAGCTGCTGGAACCATTCGGGATGGAGTGCGGGCCTATACAGCTCTACATTATCTTTCTCACCTCTCTCCTGGAAAGTCAGTGCTGATAATGGATGGTGTGAGTGTAAGTGCCAGTCGACTCTGTTTTAAAAACAGACCAGTAGCCAGGCATGGTGACGCACACCTTTAATCCCAGCACTTGGGAGGCAGAGGCAGGCGGATCTCTGTGAGTTCAAGGCCAGCCTGGTCTACATAGTTCCAGGACAGCTCGGGCTACAGGGAGACCCTGTCTCAAAAAGACCAAAAAAAAAAAAAAAAAGACCAATATACAGTAAAGGTAGGGAACTTAGAAATAGATATCTATACACAAATATGATTCTTTGCCATTAATTTTATTTCTTTTCCACCTCCCATTTTATTCTCATGAGCAGCTTTTATCAGTATGAGGTAGAAGTTAGATTTAGTGAGGTTAGCTTCTGATTACTTCAGGTATACTAGTAGCTTAAAAAGCAGGCAAGCCCTTTTCTGTTTTTCTTTTCTTCTTTCTTTCCTTGTGTTTTTCCAGGGTTGGTGCTCAACCCAAGGCTTTGTGCTCAATCCAAGGCTTTGTGCATGCCAGGCAAGTGCTTTCCCAGGAAGCTACACCCCCCCACACAGCCAAGCCTATTACTATTACATAAAGCCTGAAATAGCTTTGAGTCTATGGAGTCATACTTTAGAGCTTTCCACCAGTTTTGTACCATATTACCCACACTTAAACTTACATTAATAAAAGTGTTGGCATTTATTAGACAGCATACATAAGGTTAAAATGTGCAAATTCTAAGTATGTTACATGTGTCACAGAAAAAAATCCTTAAGACACTGTATAATACATAAAATACTATAATCTAAAAATGTTGCAAAACTTGGGGGTTGGAGAGATGGCTTAGCAGTCAAGACCACTGGCTGCTTTTGTAGAAGATCCAGATTCATTCCCAGGAACCACATACCAGCTAATCCTTAACTCCAGTTCCAGGGGATTTGACATCCTCTTTGGGCCTCTGTGGATATCACATGCATAACTATGCATACATACATGCAGGCAAAATACTCACACATATAAAAATAAAATTAATTAAAAATTAAAAATGTTATAAAACGGGGTGAAATCATGGTTTTGTTTTTAAGCTGGCTGTTGATGAAATCAGGATTTCTTTGAATAAAATAATCTTCAGTATTGACATTAGCCTGATGTCCAACATCAGGAGCTTTTGATGGCTTTGCTCTTCACAGAGGTGTAGCTAGAGTCCCTTGGGTACTGTGTGGTCAGCTTATATCATCATGCTACAGTGCTTTTATGGGCTGTTATTCTCTTTCCATGGCTATGTTCCTGGGTGTGGCCCTCCATCCTTGGACTTATGTGTTGAGTTAGGATTCCATGACACATGTACTTTTTCAACCACCCCTTCTGAAGAAGACATCAGATACCTTCCCTACTAAGTTTGTGTATGTCTTTCTATTGTGTAACCTTGCTGAATATATTAAGATAGCACTAAAGAATTACACTTTGTTAAGCAGTCTGTAATGTGAAGTAGACATATCCTCTTCCCTGCGTCTGCTAACCACTGTATATGTATTTCTACACAGGCTTTTGGCACAATAGCCATTCAGTTAGCACACCACAGAGGAGCCAAAGTGATTTCAACAGCACATAGCCTGGAAGACAAGCAGAGCCTTGAAAAGCTTAGGCCTTCTATAGGTAGGTTACATAACTCAGCCCAGACTATCTAAAATGTGAAATCTTGCAGGAAAATCAAAAACTGCACTGTCAAGCCAGGCATGGTGTCACTAGCCTATAATTCCAGCACTTAGAAGGCTGAGGCAGAGAGATGGTGCTTCGAAGGTGAGCCTGAGCTACCCAGTGAGATCCTGCCTCAAAAAAAAAAAAAAACGGGCTGGAGAGATGGCTCAGTGGTTAAGAGCACTGACTGCTCTTGCAGAGGACCTGGGTTTGATTCCCAGCACCTACATGGC